ATATCAACATAACTATGTATTTGGCAGTGTGAAGACATATTTTGATCTCAGTATCTAGTCGTTATCGAACAACTCCTTATCAAAAGCAGCCATCGGGTTCAGAAATGTGTCAGGAAATCATAACAGTGGCTGCGCTTGTCTTTACACTTGAATATCGGACGGACAGGGTACACTAAAATGATGAAACGAGCCTAGCAGCATGTCCTGCCTTCGTGTTTGGGAGAATGTTGGCTTCATGGATGAGAAGTCAATTTTTGGTGGTTGAACTGTGTTACTGACGTTGCTTGTTTTTTTCAACAAGTGTTTAATTTAAATCCTCAGGCCTCAACGCACAAAGCGATGTGCTACAGATGCCACCCAGTCCGAACTCGCCCAATCAATTTCGCAAGTAATTTGCATCTGCAAATTTCACGTCCTATCATTTATAGTGATCAGTCTAAGACCGTCTGCACAATAAACACGCCATCCGGTCTGACAGCTGTGCCACGGACTGCCAGTTTATGTGGTATGTAGGTGGACGAAGCTAGTACAGTCAAAAGACGCGAATGAGTCCTGTGTGTAAACACCAATTTCATGGTATCCAGAGCAGAAGTTATCCCACCGACTGGGTGAGACACTTAAGTTTTCTGTAGCAGGTCAGGATTGAGGACACTGGTTTCACACCTAAGTTGTCTATGCGTAGAGTTACTCACCAAGAGCAACTACACAGCCGAAAGCACTAAAAACAAAATGTTTGCCGGTATATAGAAGCTCACAATCAAAACAGCAAATTCCTATTTTTTTCATGTCCTCAAATCTGTCGAGTTTGATCCTCAAGCGAGTTAACGTGATCACGAGAGACTTGCGTGACCTGGAACAGACCACCAATAGAATCGCTACGGGGTGAAAATTCGGTTTCCAAGCATTCATTTTGCTGTTCTAAATTCGTTGGACACCCTGGGGGACTTTTGCCGTGCATTCAAATTCTCGCCAATCACCCGCTACTCACATATATTTTAGTAGTGTGAACACATTGAAATCTAAATGGTGCCGCCGTGGTGACCAGTTGTTCACACGCTAAGGTAGAACTAGGGCTCAAGACAACGGCGAAATCAAAGACAACCCGTTTGTATTTCAACGTCGAGGAATCAGATGGGTAACCTAGTTTACGTCCAAAAGCCTAAGACCCTAGTTGCGCTGCGACTCTACCGTGTTAGTGCGAAATTCTGAAAGGCCAACTTCATACAAGTTTAATACGAAACACAATTAATGGAATATGAGGAAGTCAGCTTACCTGAGAAGCCACAAAATGGTGAAAGCAACAGTGGGTATTCCGAGAATTTTTATCAACTTCAATAGTCTGAGCATCGTTCCATTTGAGCAGCGAGGAGTGCTGTTCCGCATAGTTGTTTGAAGAATACTATATGGGAGAGATTTAGTTGCGTTTTCATTTATGGATACGTTGCTCATTTGCTCTCCTTCGGCTGTTATAATTTTTTCGATCCAACATGCCTTTGCAAGTTTGCTGAAAATTCACTGCTCATTCAATCACTCAGAGCTGTCAGTCAAATGTAGGACTCCTAGCACATGTGCATTGTCCAACTACCAATGTCGCGTACGTCAGCCGCTGACTGTTTTTGTTGAATCAAAAAGGAGGCATATCTGTTCAGTCATGTGTGAAACTTCCACGCAGTGATGTTTTCGGTAAATCTTGTGTTGAGCGTTGCCGTCCTACACATTCATCGATGGAGCGGCTACTTGGTCTCGCAGGTGCGCTGTGTCAAACAACTAGCGATCACTGTAAAGTAGTCATTCGAATACTCTATGTGATGGGCAGCACTGCCTTATTACGGCGCAAATTCGATTTGTGGGTTAATAAGAACTCAAAATGTCTAAGAATTAGACACAACTAACCAGGTCACGAATGTGAGTAACCAAACTCAACGCTGAAAAACGTGGGTGACTGGTGACTGAATATTGAATGGACGCCATACATAGAGTGACGCTAAAAGTTAACGGATTAAAAAAACACACAAAGCATCGCGTCCATCACTGTAAGTCAAGTGGAAGAGAACACAAAACATAAGTGATGGAGCAATAGGGAAGCCCAATACCCGAAATCTTTATTGCAAATTCACCAGACAAGATCTTATTTACAGAAATGGAGGGTGACAAAAAGCGTTGTGACCCACTTTTCAAGGGGTAAAAGTAGAGGAATAATGACAACTACTCGAGCTGACCCCGTTACACAGAGACTGAAAGTTTTCACGGTGTGGCTGTTTGTGTACCTCCGCGAACCAATGAGCTACACTGGGATTGTCCGCGGCACATTCGCACAGTTTCTCATATCAGTTTGGTCAGTAGGTAAAGGTATGAAAGAACAAAGTCTTCTTGTTCTCCAGAAGGGGCTTGGCTCATTTGTGGCGAATTGTTCCCGCCAAACCGAGCTGCCCTGTGGTAAGACCTTTGAACCTGAGGCTTTAGTTGAAAGCCCTAATCGTCCTACTGTCTACGTGTGGGCGCCCCGACAGTATCCCAGCCCACGTACAACCATGAATGTCACATATACAAATGAACCCATTCCCTATCGGCCGTCCCGTGGTGTCATCAGCCGGGTCACCTTAATTCCTGCGTACAGCAGGGTGGGCAATCGAAAACAGGTGACTACTGACGCCGCCCTTCTTTCCCCTTCACATACTTTTACTTCTTCCTTCCCTCACCCCATCAATCCCTCTCCTTGTAGGCCCGGCACTTATGACTGGTGACTCTGTTTGTTCTGCATCGGATTTGCAAAAGGCATCTGCGCGTCATCCGGCGCTGACATCCTCAGGCATCTTAAAATCCATCTTCAAGCTCCGACGCCCAGTCTAACTGGGCTACCTTCAATATCCGTACTCTGAAGCAAGAAGGATGACAAGGTGGTCTTGCTCTCACGCTGGACTCACTTGCCATTGTGCTGTGTATCAGAAACGAGAATTCAATACGCAAGCACAGCGGTTGAGCTAACTGCCACATCACTCTCCACTCGTTTCCGGTTACGCACCTCTGGTGATCCAGAGGCTGCTGCGGCAGGATGTGCAAGGGTTGATGTCATCCTACTTCACTGGCCGGAAGTATCCTTGCTTGACTGGATACCAGCTGATAGTCGCCTCTGTACGGTTCGTCTGCAACGTTTGTGAAGGTGTCTCACAGGCTGGAAGTTGATCAATGTCTGTTTATCGTGTCTGCCTACGCCCCAACCGACCGTAGCTCTGACACCATCAAAAAACGTCCTGAATGGCCCGTAGTGACAAGCTAAAAGCTCGGTTGTCGGAGACTCAACGCCTATGTGACTCAGTTAGGAAGTCGCCTTGGATTGGACCCAGTATGTACGGACAGTGGTGAACGATTGCTCCAGCTATGTGCTGGTCGCAGACTGTTTTTATGCAGTACTAACTTCCGAAATAGCCGGAATCGCCTGTACAGATGATATCCTCCAACGGTGTGCCAGCGACGAACTCAAATCGATCACGTTGCCATCAGTTACCGATGGCGCGTAAGAATAACTGACTGCCAGCCGTTTTGGAACACATTTGTGGATTCCGACCACGCACTAGTCCGGAGCCGCTTCTCCTCACGTTTTCCATGAGCGCGTAAAGTGCAAAAAAATCGCTTGGCAACTGAGACTTGCAGCTCCGGGTGTTGGAGGAACTTACCAGAACCGTCATCTAGAGCCTCTTCCAAATGTTCCACCATCAGATGTGAACCCATACTCGGATGAGGTTGCTACCTCTATGCACAGTCGTGGGAATTTCGCCCATGGCACGGAACCAACTCCACTCAAGCACTGGATATCAGACCGAACAGCAGCACTGCTTCGATCTTGGAAAACTATCCCAGCCGGTCCTGAACATAACTTGATGAGATAAACTAGCAATCGACAGGTGAAAGTGGTTATGTGAGCAGACCGTTAAGCCTGGTGGACACGGAAAGCCAACAAAATGGAAGAGGCCGAGAAGGCTGACAATGCGTAAAGATTATTTCAGTTGATCCATGCAGCCAGTCCCCGGAAAAGCCATATGTGGGTGAAACCATCAAGGATAGGAATGGAGTGACCTTCTTTGGTAAAAAAAAACGCCCAATCGTTGTGCCTAATACTTTGAACAGCAGTCATAATGGCCATCAGAACGACTTCATCTGCCATTCTGATATCCTTATCAAATTCTATTCCTAGCGTCTCGGGGCATCGTTCACATTTCTGTCATGAAATTTGCGAACATACTCTCAAGACGATTCAGTGCCCTCCTTACTCGATATCATGCCATCAAAATCTTGCGAACAAGGGTTTTTTGTAAGAAAACACACCCTTGTGTTCAGCTATAAAAATATTCATTAGCCCATTAACAGATAAATTCAATGGCGAAAATTACCTGACCACGCGTGATGAAAATACATCCACATTCATCCATTTCCCCAGACCACAGAACTGGTACTAACACTGAATGGAACATAGACAACCAACAAGGTCATCATTCTCAGTAGTATTTGGAGCGTTTTTAAGCCCACAGAAATATCCCAAGGTTGAAGTCAGTGTAAAAAAAACTTTTCAACCTTAAATGTAATCAGGAGCTTTCTTTCTCAGAAACGATTTATCTGAAAAAAGTCCATCAACGAGGAGTGAGGAGCTTTCTTTCTCAGAAACGATTTATCTGAAAAAAGTCCATCAACGAGGAGTGATTTCTGTTTAACACTATGACTGAATGGATAACGGGCTTTGAGTACCAGAATGACTGTAAACAGAATGAGGCTGATATCCACTAGTTCGAACGCCACAAATATATGACTACTCACATTAGCTGCTGAACTTCTTTGGGCTTCCGTAAATCATCGATACAATATTGCTAGAATCAGAAGAAGAAGAATCAGCGTTATGCGTGAGCTTCAATTACCGCAAATCTACTGGACGAAAAAATGGAAATAGCAGTTCGTGTTTGGATAATGTGTTCCCGTCGCTCCGGTGCAATTCGGGACTTGAAAATAAACTAAACAGAGTGCCAAATACCAGATCTTTGATCGCAAAGTTTTTGAGGTTTCATATAGTCTTTGCCGTAGACATGTGCTAAGACACTGTCGGGATTTCTGGGACAAGGTACGTTGAGACCCATATAAGTACAGATGGACAATGGGAAAACATCATTCAATGAATAAGATAGGCGTTTCTTCCGCTCAGAGTCTACAGATTCATCCAGCAGTCCGACGTGGGTTTCGTTTGCGTTGCTTTCATCGACAACCACTTTTGCGTGAACCAAGAATACATCAAAGTACATGTGGGGACCGGAGATGATGCGAGCGATTGGGGCGCAAAACACACATGGATCCTCGTGGAAATGACCCGGTAATCCACGACAGTTCAAAGACATCCCGTGACCAATACGGCAGTGTCGGGAAATAAGAAATGGCTGAAATACATGGAAAAGCAGGGCGTTATGGTTAGTAAAGTGGTGGTTTATTGGTACTTTTACCCTGTATCGGCTTGTTGTCAACAGAGAAAAAGATCCTTCTGTTTAAATGATAGTTAGTCCAAGTGCAAAACAAAATTCCTCTGTTTCTATTTAACTGTGACGATCTAGGTCTTACAAGATCAATCTTAACGGAGTCTAGCCTGCGGCGTCAAAGCGCACGCCACAATTCATGACACAACTAGTCAGTTACCGTCTATCAAATTAGAGCAGAATGGAGTCATTCCTAAACGCTTGCTTAAAAAAGATTTGGTCTTGAGAATGTTGCAAGAAGCACTTGTGAGTTCAAAATGCGATAAATCATAATGTCACTCAGAAAATGGCCTCTGCTGGGTCAAAACAAGTTTTCATTTATGTTCTATTGAATAAACCCGTGGGAACCTCTAACAATTAGACGCCCCACATAAACATCCATGCAAGGCTGATCGTACCTAACATGGTTGTGTTGGGTTAACCAGCAGGAAAAAAGAGGGCGGAAAACGAAGAGTAGAGGACACTCTCAGGCCATCTTGAGAAAAATGAGCGAAGTGACCAAACTGGACAGTAAATCACCTCTTGTACTGCATGAGTTTGCGGACCACAATCGGCTCAGTTTCGAAAACTTACACATACCGGAACACATTCCTAACGCGAATGCATCAGGGTGCCTTGCTGAATCAGTGGCTATTCACATGATTTCTGGCATTAACGGGTTTGATGGTGGTGAACTGTCTGTGACTTGGCGAAATACACTCATTTCCAAACAAATTTGGTTTTGCGAGAGACTCACCTGAAACTCAGCTGAATCTCGCTCTCTCTCTCTCTCTCTCACCCGGGTTCCAGGTGAGTCTCTCGCGAAACCAAACTTGTTTGCAAATGAGTGCATTTCGCTAATTTCGCGCAATTTGGTTTCAAGTAGAACATAAGGTTGACGGAAACTTGGGGACTGCGCCTACCTGATGAGCCACAAGAAGGGAGAAACCGATCGTGGGCTGTCGAGGAGTTTTTAACAAACTTATGAGTAGTACATTACAGCTTGGTTCGACCAACTCATCAAGCGCGATGGTCCACATGTGACACAACTTCATCGCAATTTCAGGTGCGAAACATGTAAACGGTGCAACACACCAGTACCCTTAAGCGAAACGACACACAAGACTATCACACCGACCTGACACTGTGATGACCATTCTTTGATAACCTCATTGATATCGTTTGATTTCAGTCATATTTGTTCCTTGATAAAGGGCAGTCAGTTAGTTTCATACTAACTAAAACATGAGGCGGCCTGTGTGCAGCACATTCAGCTGAAGAGCACCATGAACGAGAGATTCACTGGAGTCTCTCGTGAAAACTAAATTGATTTGCAAATGAATAGTGTATTTGTCGCATTCAGTTTCAGTTGATTTATCCGGTGTGTATTCACCAGGATTTTCGCTATGAGTTGAGTTCCCGTTTTCTGCATACCAGCGTTGTTGTTGAAAGAAAACAGAGATAGCGAACTACATTCATTTGCAAACAAATTTAGTTTTGCTCTAGACTCACCTGGAATCCAGCTGAATCTCTCGTTCAAGTAGAACGAGAATAGAACGAATTTTGGACCCGCGAAACAGTAGGAAAGCGCAGGTTTTTTTCTGTGTCCTTTCCCCGTAACCTACGACATTAGTATCTGGCCCACATGACAGCCCGCAACAGATGCGCTTGCAGCAGAATGGGGCTCTTTAGAAGTTTAACTTGTAGTTAAACTATTCTGGACTTAAGGTCAACAGTTGGGGACAGCACTGTTGTATCCCCAAACCGCCCCGTGAGGCGATTGCCCATAGTGTGAAACCTACTACTCCCCACCTGGCGATTCTTTCTACTTTTGTGTTGTCTTTTGATCTTGAGGAACGGAACCCAGATGAAGGTCCACACCATAGCAGCACTCATTCCCAGCACCACATAGAACTAGGAGCCTTTGGTATGTGCAATCTAAAAGTGACCTTTCCCAAGCTCGGTCCTTGAGGAATTTCACACTGGAGGGGCGCTTGGCAGTATCCCAAATAGTATGAAACTCAGAACAATAATATGAGTTCTGCAGGATAGTTTCCAGCTGAGCCATAAGAAGAAAATACAAGCTTATCGTTTGTAAACTGACGTGCCGGACCTAGAGTTTCGCAAAACAGGGGACATTGAAAATAATTTCAAGTTGGACTTCAAACTCCACACAGGTTACGCGGATCACTTGACAAGCTCGCTTTTGTTAGTTTACTTACTGAGATGATTTTAAAGGTTCCTCTATCTCATTGATTTCCAACGAAGCCCGTACTTGACGAAGTGGATTCCAACTAGAATTCAATTTAAGTGAACTATAAGATGGGTTTTCGCTATGTATCAGATCTAAACAGATGAACAGTGAGCGATCTTATATGAAAAAACTAGATCAAAAGAGCGCCCCATCTACAAAGACGCTTTTTGGGGACTACATAGCCCTAAAAGCCTTAGAAAGTGCGTTTCTTGTCCGGTAGTCAGCTGTCTTTGGAGGGATTGTCGGGTGATAGTGGGCATTTTTCTGAAAAGATTTTGATCACAAAATAAACGTGTTAAAACAGAACTTCCTACGTCAGAATTTATCGGGATAAATGACCTTCACGAAATTTTTGTGAGATAACCAACTTCGCCAGACGTATCCACAGAAAATACCTGTTCATAAGTAGCATCTTTCCATGTGACAGACAGCTCTCGAACGATCGTCTCGTAAGACCCGAGCACAGCGACATCCGTATCATGATCATAGGGAATGAAGTCCTTGTGTCTGAAACCAGAAGGCACAAAATCGAAGAAAATAAACGTACCTCAATAATTCAGATTTGGGTTTTCTAAATGACCGAGAACTGACTGTTGTCTACAGTGGACGTGAGAATGAGTGAATAAACATTGCGCGGACTTCCCATAAAGTTACCTAACTCTGCTTCATTATGTTGGCGACCTTCTGGCAAGGCCCACTGGATCGATATGTTTACCGGGGTAAATTGTTTGGAAGTACTTGTACAGAAGTACCTGAATGGAACAGCGCACTCTGTAACGTTGATGTCTGTAATATGGTCAGATAGATATCTTCATGAGCCGCATGATGTAGGACATTCATTTTCTAAAAATATGGACACTGCTATGAGACGACACCATTTTGTCGTTTTTTAGCCGTATTTGTGGGTCCTGGTTCACTTAAAGAACTCACTGTGATTCATGACCCTTAAACTGCGAAAACAGCAGTTACGGGAGCGAAAAATTGTGAGAGCGAATCAGTGTAAAATAGCAGCGAGACCAAATCAGTCGGGAATGGTGAAAGTAACCCTTTTTAATCGTAGCATTTTTAAAGTTGCTGTCACGACTAAATTTTGTGCCATTGTAGAAGTTCAACCCTGAAAAACTGGAATCTAACTTAAAGGCAACTACTCACAAGGTTGCTGAAAACTCTTCGAATCTAACATGGTATTTTGAACCTACAGAGAGTGTATATTCGCCCAAAGGCGGATGACTGATAAACTTGTCCTATTTCATAATGTGTGAAAGCCCAGAAAGCCTTTTACGTATAGCAAACGAACACGGCTAAAGACACAAGTGAGTCGAGCAATATTCTTTTTGGTTCGAATTTCGCGAATCCAGGTAACGGTCGGGATGTCTGAATTTAAGGGAATATTTCGGTGAGAAACTTCAGTCTCACTGATTAAATGATGAATGTCCTAAGAAGTGTCGGAATGAACAAAGGCCTAACGGCGAGTTTGGCTTTGTTCTGTTAACGCAAACACTTAGTTTTGTTATCTAATGAAGCTCTGTTCATTCAGTACTTTACAAACCTGCATATTTACATAAGCTTGCGATATGGACGTAGACCGTCTGGAATTACAAGTTTCGCGTCGTCACAAGCCGTCAGAGTGAAGTACATCAGCAGACACTTTGGTCAGTTTTTTAAATCAAGCAGATGAGTAAATAATTGATGTGTTACTTGCGATGCTGACTATTTTCGGTATAGTAGAGTGCGCATTACATATACCAGACAGTTATGCTGGAAAAATGTCGTAAAGTTTGCTAAATGCTACGATTCGAGTGGAATGTGTACAAGCTACACAGCTTTAGCCTCGGACTTTTAACCCTAAAGAAAGCGTTGTATGAACCGGTTTTCGTTTCACATAGTCATCACGACGATATGTGGCATTTTGGCCAAAGCACCCAATATGTGATGCGAATTAAGGTTAATAGCCATTATCTTTGTATCGAATACCGTAAACCGTCCAATGATTCAGTATGGAAAAGCTGAACTCGTGGGACGAGTTGACGACCGGGCGGCTGGGATTCATAACTAACGAAAACAGAATGAAATTCGAAAAGGTACATGAATCATTCTTTACTTGTCGGAGCGGGTCAAAATTCAACATAGAACCGCCTACGAAATTCACTGGGTTGTTCAAACTAAGACAGAAAGTGACGAGGATCAGGTTCCTTAAAAGTGAACCCGTCGATTGTGGTCCTCAAGCTGATTTAATAATCGCTGTACAGTGACGTGGTGAAAATTCGCTTCTCCCGTCGAATACTGGTGACGTGACTCAACCGAAAATAACGGTGACATAGCGTCTATGTGCGATCCGTGGTTGCATTTTATTCGCTATTTACTTGGAATGTGAATGAATGCCATACAATACAACCTGTTCCCTTTCCTTCGTTTTGTTGCAGTTAGATTCAGCTATAAACGAATGGAACCGGTGCATGTGTGATATTTCATAACCACGATGAAGATCAAAACTTAGAGAAAACTTCCGCAATACTGGGAACATATATAGCTAGTTCTCAAGAATTTGCAAATGTGTTCAGGACCAACAGATTTGAGAATAAATCCACTGGGGTTTGACAGCTTTAAATTAACTTTGTTTTTAGGAGTTTCATATTCTAGAACTGATTGGCGAAAACGTGCAAAAAGATTGAATGCTGCGCACAACATCCTCCAATGTTACACTTGCTTCCTAAGTTTACGAGCGATTCCGACTTTCCTAATCTTAATAGAATCGCCTAATTTCATTTTACAATCGGTATATGTGCGCTAGTTTCAACTCCGCTGTGCTGCCTTCTGAAGGCTTATACAAAACAAAGTGAACTGTAAACCAACACTTAACAAGCCGATCTCTCCCAATTTGAGTGAAGTTTTGCAGCTGAAGAACAATGTAGGCCGATTTTGAGGCCAGGATTGACGAACGGTGTTAAAACACAGGTGTTTTACAAAAATGAGTTCGTTCTCTACCTATAGGTTCTTTTTCTGATTATTCACTACTAGCTACACTTCCTGGTTTGACGAAATTTCTCCTACTGATAAAATGAACAAGATGCACTATGTGACGGGGATACTTTGATGATAAATCACACTGGCTGTAAAAAGAGGTGCGCGACCAATTTCTCGGATAGGCTTTAACGGCAATTCATCATGATTTATCTGGAAGGATTTGAGGGCAAGGTCATTGCGACGATTATAAGATCCAGCGTAAAAAACGTATAAAGTGGTCACCGGGTTCGAGAAATACACTCCCTGAAAATCAATTTGGTTCTCACGAGAGACTCAACTGAATCTCACATTTATGGTATTCTACAACTGAATGTGCTGCACACAGGCCGCCTCATGTTTCAGTTGGCACGATACTCGAGTTATCGCAGTATATTTTCATAAATGAAACTACTCACAAGGTTGCTGAAAACTCTTCGACAGCCCACGACAGGTTTCTCCCTTCTTGGGACTCATAGGGTAGGCACAGATGAGTGTATTTCTCGAAAACAGTCTAATTTGGGTTCAAGTGGAACATAAAATTGACGATAACTTGGAAACTGCGCCTTCCTGGTGAGCCCCAAGAAGGGCGAAACCGGTCGTGGGTCGTCGAAGAGTTTTCAGCAACCTGTGAGTAGTTTCCTTTATGGTCACTGGGTTGTTTTCCGAGATGGACATTTTGACTGCAACTGTTCAACACCATCAGTGTCTTATGAGTGAACGAGCGTCGCTGTTAAATTTTCACTTACTTAAAGCTAGGATAACAATAAAGAAATATATCTTAGCAGACCATTTTAGTCCTAGCGGTAGAACCAAGTCTTCGATAAAAAATGGGAAGATGTAGCCACGTCAACAAAAGAATTCGTTCTACCGCACGACTGCCTTCAGGTGAAGAAGAGTGTCTTCATCCCTTGGTGTTTAAATATTTGGTCTGCCAAAATAGACTTAATTCCATTTGTGAGTAGTAGACATAAAAGTTTCAGTTACTTACCGTACTGACCCTAACAATGACCCGTAAGTTAGCCACCAAACTATTTTGTGTTTTTCGGCCATTTGGATCCATTTGAGAAAAAGTTGATACATGTTCTCTCGTCTCAGAAGATCCACCTGACAACCAGTCACGCCGTCAGATAGCTGGACATCTTTCCTGTATACCATCGAATTATTGTACGTGGGCGGATAAACAGGAAGCGATCTCGTGCTATTCCAGACTTCTCGAACTGTAGGAACGGTCCCGATGTGACCCATATTCTGTAGACACCAAATCAGGTCGAGTTTGTTCAGGTATCTTTGAGTATGACCACAACATAGTTCGAGGGCGGGGTTAGGTGAATCATACTTAGTAAGGTTACACAAAGCTGCAAAAATTGTCAGTAGACTTAGCCGAACTGAACTGTTCTTGAGTCTCTCGTCGTTCATTTCAGCTATCCATTTTGTCAGATCGTTAGAATGTAGTCGAAATTCCCCGTCTGTTTCCTGAGCGTGGTAGACGAAACCGTACGTGTGATGTGTCACTGTTTTTTCATCCCAATGGTTTGTACCGTGATAGATCCAGAATGCACATAACGCCAAAACAGACAAAACTACATTGATAATGCCGAACCTCATCAGGCCCAACTATCTTACGATTGCTCTCACCAGAGAAAAGTCCAGCTTTTCAAACCAACCAAAGGGTGCCAACACGGTTCGACCAATCGGATTTGTCTGTGCTACCTGGCACCATCGATAGCGATAGACATTGGAAATAATAGATAGGTTATTGATAAATACACTCATTTGCAAATCAATTCGGTTTTCCCTGGATGCTCAATTGAAACTTCCACTTATGCTATTCTACAACTGGATGGGCTGCACACAGGCCGTCTCATGATTCAGTTCGCACGATATTCGAGATATCGAAGTATATTTTCATAAAGGAAACTACAAACAAGGTTGCTGAAAACTCTTCGACAGTCCACGACCAGTTTCGTCCTGATGATGGTGGTTGTGGCACAACCACCAACCCACCGCTACGCACTACTACGCTCCACAATAACGCACTGATGATGTCACCTCGATTACAAATCCATTTGGTTGTGGACTGTCAAAGAGTTTTCAGCAACCTTGTGAGTAGCTTCCTTTATGAAAATAGATATTTCACATACTAAATGAAGAACTAGGAGGATTAATCCCATGGGATAGTTAGAGCAAGACAGCATCGCAATCACTTACTCCACAACTGGTAGGAACAGATTTATTTTATCGGCAAACAAATTTTAAGGCATGACAAAATTTCTCACGGTCTGATCAACTGCGGAATTTGGACGTGTGTAATATGGGCAGTGTACAGTATGCAGCAAACAGTATTTCAAAATTGAAACGGAAGTTTTATAAGCATTACCGAAACCAGAGTTAATTAGTTGCTTAGAGAATGACGAATTTGAATTAAACACAGCAATTGAATATACAGGGTGTCTCATAAAAGACGCAAAAAATAATACCACTAAAACTTTAACACCAATTTAAACATATTTATTTTTATTTGCCCGTACCTGCATTATGAAAATTTTTTGTAAACAAACCAGCTTTACAAAAATTTTGAAAAAAGCCGCCTTTTTCTTTTATAACAAGTTGGAAATGGTATGACATGTGAGACAGCATGTTTAACTTCTTCAAGCATCACTCGTGGCCTCTCCTCTTCAATTCTTGCTCTTAACTTCACCAAATTCCTCGGTTCACTTTCGTGATATACCCAAGGCTTGGCATCTCACAATACGAGGCACGCTGGCGCGGGGAATGCTGGTCAACTGAGACACCTGAGTTATTGACGAAGATGTCATGGTGCTCTGGGACTGAAATTGCTCGACGGCATTCTGTACAGTGAGTACTCTTTCGTCACTCAGAGACTTTCTCCCTTTGCCAGGGAAATCTAATACAGATAAAGTGGACCCAAATTCGCAATCAAGCATGTAATGGTCGATACAGTGAAAGAAACTTTGATGAGACCATGTTTGGTTGTGTAAGCACGAAGTGCAGCGGTGGCGGTTTCACAAAGGGAATAATAGATTTTTACAATCTCAGTGCGCGTACTGACATTTATCGTAAACAAAAAACGTTGACACTTGTACACAAAACTTCCGTCATGTGGATACTAATGATAAAAAATTTCGTTATCCCTTCTTTAACTGACTACGTTTACTTAATCAAATGTTGCGTTTATTATGGGACACCTGTCCCGGTATGCCTGCCTCTCTATTCTCAAGATAAATGAGGCACGCGTTCTTTGCACATGATTTAAGCCCATTTCCAGTCCCTTAAACATAAATAGGATTTCAAACAAAGGTGACTGAATAAATACACTATGATTCTGAGCGTAATTCCCGGAGTGTTATGATCGGGAGCCAAAACATTTTCCTCGTTTGCAGGCCTAATCTTAATTGTGGGGCGTGATGTTTTCCCCCGGTGTGGCGTTCACGAATTTCCGCCCATATTTCGTTAAGAAAGTAGTTGAAGAACAACACATTTCTCTTGATTTCACCTTAGTAGGAGAACGAGTCTTAATATCGGTGTGAAACTACGTTTTCCGTTCTTGAAGTCTTCATTGTGATCCGTAATTTAAGCTCCAGGGCCTCTGGGATGCTGGTTCTTCTGTAGATTATTATGCCCGAAGGAAGCTCCGGACCCCTTACTGTCGTCCTGTCCAAGTTTTTTTCATGGCAGTCAACGGCTTACTGTCACATCTAGCTGTCTTGTGACCAAATCATCCTAATCATCATCTGAAAAGTCTTGGGCAACCGGTGTTTTCCCCAGGAAAACTTCACTGATGGACTGTTGCTCCATCGGTGTCTAACTGTAGAATCCAGACAGATGGCACATTTCGTGGAGGACGCGGGTCCCTCGAATTTCAAGACAACAAAGGTGAAAAGTGGTGATTTTGATGCATCAAGCGTGCGGTATCTGGGTCATCCGTGGCACCCACACCTGTGAGTTAATTATCTGAAGTTCGTATCCCGGAACGATCGAGGATATGTATTAATGACCAGCTCTAATAAAACCTCAATTCGACTCCAGTTCCTCTCTTTTTAGTACGAAATCACCAGAAAAATTGGCCAGAGAATGAGGAGTGTCCAAACCAGAGTGAGCTAATATTAGTGTAAACAGATGAAACAACTCTACAGAGCTTCCATACTTTCAGTATATACCGTCTCCCTCTGGTGATGTGAAATCTGCGCCCGAAAGATTCCTCACAACATGAGAAAAAATATACCTACTTCAGTAACGCAACCAGCGATCAATACTAAGATATCTAGTGAGCTCCCTACGTAGTATATAAACTGCTGCAAACCTGCCGACAGTTCAGTTGGAAGTGGAGTTATTCAAGAATCCAGTGTTAAGACATCGATATGGTTTTGAACTTTGGCACAGTGTTTGATTACGCGCCCCCAAGACCACACTCCAAGATAAGCATGGCTTGACCTGGTCCGGAAACCAGCGTATTACAAAAAAACCCGCGGGATTCCACACAATGTATTGCAAACTTATGCACTTTCCACGCAATTCACGTTTGAAAGTAGTAAGAAAGAATTCATCCATGCTATTACATGAATTTAGCATTTTCCGTTCTGCGATCCCACCACTTTTCCACTGAAACATTTATCATAACACTTCAGAAATATACCTTACTATAGTAGTGCATACCAAGAAGAGCATGGCAGAGCTACAAACCGAAACAACGGATATTTCGGTGAGAATTACTGCAGTAGATAAAGGAGCCAAATTATACATGTACCGCTGAAACGACCAAGGGATGCACAGTCAGAAGAGCTGAAATCCTTTTTCGTATAGGTTGCTCACCAAAGTGTATGCACCGAATTTCAAAGACAACACCCAGGTCACATAAGGCACAACAAACCTGGAACAGATTGTATAAATAGTCCCATGTAAATTGTATACATGCAAAGAGCGGGAAGGGGGTAATGTATGCTGAAGTGTATGTGGCTTCTTTTCTTCCAGTGTGATTACCAGTAAAGCAGATGAAAAATAACAGGTGTAACAAAATCACGGTTGATTTTCATACAATTGGTGATTTTGTGGTACTGACAACGAGTTAATCAGTATTTTTCGTCCCTTCATCGTAGAACCTGTGTTCTCCTATTGTACAAAACAGGAATTCAAAACGCTTTCTACACCGTCCACCTTTTATCAACCAAGTTGCTCGGCCAATTGCCCTCCAAACAGCATCTGACCACTCCCCCACAATGACATTCCGTTACTTCCATTGTTAATTTATGCCCTAATACATTGACAGGTGCCCCAGAACCAATGATTTGTTTTAATCCGACAATTTGTGAGTTCTTCTTGAGCGTGGCGCTCACTTCACAAGGTGATTAGAAGAACGCAAGTAAGCCAGTCAACCGGGGTGTTCAGTGCTGCGCTCAAATACTCAGATATTTGACCCGGTTGCACTACATTCTACCCACGAGAGAATCTGATACATAGAAATAAACTAAAATCACGTCCAATTTGGACTGATTGGCTGTCACATCGCCACGGATGTCCGTTTACGTACAGGGTAAATGTGGTGCTAAGTGGGCGTTCTCTTGATCTTATCACTAACATGATGTGTATTACGGTGCGGATCTTCCTTTAGTTTGAACTTGTAGGAAGTGTACTCTCTGGGGCAACATGTACCGAGAACATTTATGTGTGAACGTCTTTTACAAGATGCATTTGATCTACTCGAAATTCTGTTTAGCTAAAACTGTCAGCGCTGAGAAACAGAGAACCTGTCGGATATCTAAAGCATATGCGTAACGAGTTCAATATTTGTTATGAAAATCTGATAAGTTGAGCAAGTGAAAACTACAAAAATTTTAAGTTTCAGAAACTCCAGTTTCCATGGAAGAGAACGCAGCACTACAAATGAAATTCCAGTGAAGCTGGCGGTAACAGAAACCCGACGGAGCCTCATGCTTGATTTTTTCAAAAGTATTTGTTGCACACACCGCTTGATTTTTCGGCTGGGAGGGTGCTGAAGATACGGCAACTTTATATTTGGGACGACATTACTCACAAATCAATAAAAATTCTTCAAAAAGGAAATACTGGTTTGGGCCTTTTGAGGATCATCAGTTAACCACAGCGTCTCGTATATTATCAATTGTGCACCCGAAAATAAAACTTGCTTTGCAGTGTTTATTTCCACTGGAGGGTAATAAGTTTCCTAAAATGGCGCCAAAGGGTATACAAAGTATTTGGTACGAACAAGATTTCGAATCCATTTCCTATGGTGTATCACCGGTGAATGTTGAAAGCTACTGATGCCTCAACATATGTCGATCTTCATTAAACTGAACCTCACAGCTTCGTTCCTGCGGACGTCAATATGCTTACACTACTACATTGTATATCAGTAGCATGTGACTGGTGCGGGTCTGAACACCCGGCCTTGACTCGTCGAGCTGCTCAACGCAATCCTGGAGTGGTCACGGACACACCAAAGTGAATGCGTCATATATCGAAATTTCATTCGACTATTAATCGGAACTGTACACTGTTTCAGATCACAACAAAGCCATAATCATTGGGAGTCACATCTTTTCTACGATCCTCTGTGCATTTTCGTGAGC